AGAGAGAGAGAGAGAGAGAGAGAGAGAGAGAGAGAGAGAGAGAGAGAGAGAGAGAGAGAGAGAGAGAGAGAGAGAGAGAGATTTCAATCCAACAAGAAGCCTCTTTCATTGTCACACACACTTCCTTCACAGCTTCTGTGAGAAGTCAATCACAAGTTGAAAAACTGTTGAATACATCAATCAAAAGAGCCATCAGGCATTATACTCTCTTATGTCATACTCTCACGTTAGAATTTCCTGACCTGAATCTCGATCGAATTTCTCTACGATACATCCTGGAAAGTCCTACTGCGACTGACTGTATGCCCTCATAGTTGTCTCCAACATAAAGATGAACCGCTTCCTTAAACCACCAGTACATGGCCCCAGGCAACTGGAGAGCCTGTTTTGAGCCTATCCGGAAATTTAGGAGGCCAAGCGCCGTAGATAAAATGAAAAAGTGGTGGGAGGCCTCCGAAAGGGGCCCTCGGCTGATAGCTGCCATGTGCTGGTGCTTTAAACCACCAGTACATCTGAACGAAAAAGCAGATTGAGCCTCTCCTAAAAAGTGGGAGGCCGTGAACCGCCGATTCATTTTATCGACGGTCCATGGCCTCTGAATCGTTAGGAGAGGCTCAATCTGCTTTTTCGTTCGGGTGTACTGGTGATTCAAAGCACCAGTACACCACATATCGCCCCGCGGGTGTCAGCATGAAACCCGCACCACTTCGAAGGCCGCCAATTTTTTTTTCAACGGCGGGCCTGGCCGCACGGCCCCTCCGGGTTTTGGTTGTGGCAACAAAAACTTTCTGCATATGTGGGCGGAAGAAGTGTGTAACAAAAACTTTCAAAGCACCAGTATACATGATCTACATATGATCTATAGAGGAGCTGTAGAGGATCTGCGCATGATCTATAGATGATCTATAGAGGATCACTAGAGGATTCATAGATCATCTATGGAGGATCAATATATGATATATAGCGAATCTATAAAGGATCTATGCTACAATAGGCTCGGACGATGCCCTTGCAATTTTGAGAAGTGGGCGGAAGAAGTGTGTAACAGCCTAACAGGAGTGTCGTTGCTGTCCTTTCCACGGGGTCATTCACTGTCATAGAGTTTGCAGATGAAAATCTTGAATTTTTCTGAAGTTTTTTCTTTTCTTATACTTTTTTTGTCTGTGCATATGTATTTTGGAAGTGTTTCAGTCTTCGCTCTTTTTTTTGCGGGGGTTAGCTTCAGTAGAGTCACAAAAAAGAGTCGTTATTGCACTTTGGGGCAAGATACAGTTTGCAATTGCACTTCGGGAACCCTACCTGGCCAGAAATCTGGGTTGTATACATTGCCCGAACTGCAATTCGAAACTGTATCTTGGCCCATAGTGCAATCATAATGATAAATTATAACTCATTTCTGTGACTCCCACGTAGTTTCCCCTTCTTCTCCCTCCGCCCCCCACAACCCCCCCCCCACGAAAAAAAAAAGAGTGATTTCCTTCCCTGCTGATTGTCTGCAATGATGCAGGTATCATAATTCAAATTCATTCAGAAAATTTCAGATAAAGATGGTAGTACCGTAGTAGTAGTAGTAGGAGTAGTAGGAGTGAGTTCATTTCACTTACAGAGAATAGCCTTCATGGCCTGGGATCCATTCTTCATCCATTTTCACCAGATGCTTGATATAACTCAGAAGCGCCTCCTGCACCATTTTTTATTTATTTTTTCCAAATCCAACACACAGCAGCAATAAGCATAATCTCTCTCTCTCTCTCTCTCTCTCTCTCTCTCTCTCTCTCTCTCTCTCTCTCTCTCTCTCTCTCTCT